CTCGACCTCCCCAAGCATGATGTCCCTTTGCAAGGAATAACTTCTTCTAGTGACATGTTCAAAGTTTGTGAGACAAAGCTTCCCTATCCTTGCCTCCCAGAAGCACTCTGGCTGCACCTTCTCCAAGACATATCTGTTTGTTCTTTTGGCATTCCATAGGATCTTCAGCACTCTTCTCTAACACTGCCATCCTTAGTCACTGTCTAGCTCTCAGATGCATAGCAAGTAGCTGAAAGACCATGGTCTGAATTAGGTGCACCTTAGTTCTCAGATTGACATCATTACTCCTCAATAATTTGGAGAGGTCCCTGACTACAGATTTTCCCACTACATTACATCTCCTGATCTCCTGACTGCTGGTACCATATGTACTCTGTGGATTCAAGTAAGACAAAGTCATTGACAGTCTTAATCCTTTCTCCTTCCATCATGATGTTGCCTATAGGTCCAGTGGTGTGGGTTTTTGTTTTCTTGACAGTGAGATGCAATCCACATTAAAGACTGCAGTGTTTAACCTTCTGTAGCAAGTGCTTCATGTGTAAGCAAGGCTGTGTTATTTGCATAATCAAGGTTACTGATGAGTCTTCCTCTGATTCTGATGCCACATTCTCCTTCATAGACTTAAGCTTCTCAAATAATTTCCTCAGCTTATAGAGTGAATGGGTAGGGAGAAAGGATACAGTCCTGATGTGTACCTTTCGTTGTGCTCCCTTGGTCTGTTCGGACAATAGCCTTTTGGTTTAGTTATAGGTTGTACATAAACAAATTAAGAGTTCTGGGATTCCCATTCTCAATGTTAGCCATAGCTTGTTATGATCCACATAATCAAATGCTTTTGTATAGTCAAGAAAGCACAGATATACATTTTTCTGGTATTTTCAGCTGGGATCCATCTCATATCAGCAATGATATTCTTGGAGCCATGGCCTCTTCTAAATCAAGCTTGAATGTCTGCCAGTTACCTATTTATGTACTGTTCTAGCCATTACTGAATGATCCTCAGGAGATTACATGTGATATTAATGGCATTGTTCATTAATTTCTACATTCTATTGGATCACCGTTCTTAGGAATGGGAACAAACACTGATGTCTTCCAGTCAGTCAGCCAAGCAGCTGTCCAAATCATTCTCCTAATACAGCATACTGACAGGTAAGAGTTATACCTCTATCAGCAAATCAGCCATATGAAAATTGTGGTGCAGGGCCCATCTGAGGCCAGTGCCAGCAAGACAGGAAGAGACTCTGGGTGGGTACAATATCTGCCTAAATGTATAAAAACATATATGTATTTAAGTACATGTATATGTATATATGTATGTATGTATATATATATATACACACACACACACACACACACACATAAAAATAAATAAATACATATATTTGTTGTTGTTGTATGCCTTTAAGTTGGAACCAACCCCCAGCCGATTCTCCAGTAGGTTTGCAGGGGCAATAAATTGCACTGGAGGGGAATTCCCATCTTTCTCCTACAGAGCAGCTGATGGATTGGCATACTGACTACAACAGTGGGTTAGAGCAATGCAGCGATCGTCATTAGTCATAGTTGACTTGATGGCACATAAGAACAATATCTATATCTTTAGAGAAGCAGACAGCCACATCTTTCTTCTGTGGAGCAGCTGATGGAGAAGACTATGAATTGCTGGCCTTTCAGTTGTTAGCAGCCGACTCCTTTAACTCCTGTACTACCATGTTGTTGTTGCCATAGGTTCGAGTGCAACTCATAGTGACCCTATGAACAAAATATCTTCCACCCTTGCTAACATCAGGTCCTTTTCCAAGGAATAGCACCTCCTAGCAATATTCCAAAGTATGTTAGGTGAAGCCTCATCATTCTTGCCTCTAAAGAGCACTCTGGTTGCACCCCCTCCAAGATATATCTATTCATTTTCTTGGCCGTCCACGGAATGTTCAGTGCTCTTCTCCAACACCACAGCTCAAAGGCATCAATTCTTTTTCTGTCATCCATAGTCCAGCTCTCAGATATACAGCAAGTAACAGGAAAGACCATAGCCTGAATCAGACACACCTTAGTCCTCAAACAGACATCATTACTCTTTAATAATTTGGAAAGGTCCCTAACTGCAAATTTCCCTATTGCATTGCATCTCCTTATTTCCTGACTGTTCGTACCAAAGATGTTAATTGTAGATCCAAGTAAGATGAACCTGTTGATAGTTTCAATCTCCTTTCCAACCATCATGACACTACCTCTTGGTCCAGTGGTAAGAATCTTTATTTTCCTGATATTGAGATGTAATCCATACCGAAGGCTACACTGCTTGTTCTTCTGCAACACGTATTTCAAATCCTCACTTTCAGCAAGCAAGGTTGTGTCATCTGCATTAACACAGGTTACTGATAAGTCTCCCTGCAATCCTGATGCCACACTCCTCTCCAGAGTTCAGGTTCTTGGATAATTTATTCAGCATATAGATTGAAACATGCAGTGTTTGCCTGTTCTGTTCTAACAACTGCCTCTTGGTTCAAGTATACGTTTCACATTAGCACAATCAAGTGTTCTGGGATTTCCATTCTTCTCAAAGTCAGCCACAGTTTGTTATGATCCACAAGTCAAACGCCTTTGGATAATCAATGAAACACAGATAGAAATTCTTCTGGTATTCCCTGCCATCTAATATCAGCTACAATATCCCTAGTACCAGGATCCCTTCTAAACCCAGCCTGGACTTCTGGCAGTTCTCTGCTGATGTGCTGTTCCAGTCATTTTTGGATAATCTTCAGTAGAACTTTGCTTGCATGTGAAATCAATGATATAGGACTGCAGCCTTCAGTATGGATTGAGGCTCAATATCAAGAAGACAAAGATTCTCACCACTGGACCAATTGGCAGCATTAGGATGGATGGTGAAGAGATTGAGATTGTTAACAACTTTAGTTTGCTTGGCTCCACGGTCAACACTCTTGGCACCAGTAGCCAGGAAATAAAAAAAACGTATTGCAATGGGAAAGTCGGCTGTCAGGGACCTCTCCAAAGTACTGAAGAGCAACAGTGTCACTCTGGAGACTAAGGTGCGTCTGATACAGGCCACGGTCTTTGCAATTACTTGTTATGCATCAGACAGTTGGACAATGACTAGGTAAGATAGAAGGAGAATTGATGCCTTTGAGCTGTGGTGCTGGAGAAGAGTATTGCCTGTACCATGGATTTCTAAGAAAACAAAGAGATTCATCCTGGAGAGGGTTAAACCAGGCTGCTTCTTGGCGGAAAGGATTCTGGGGCTTTGTCTGACATACTTTGGACATGTTGTAAGGAGGGATAGGTCCTTGGAGAAGGACACCATGCTTGGGAGGGTGGAGGGATAGTGCAAGAGGGGAAGACCCTCTATGAGGTGGATTGATTCAGTGACTGGGGTAATCGGGATGGGTGTGTCAGAGGCAGTGCAATTGGCATAGGATAGAGCAGAGTTAAGGGCTGTTGTACATAGGGTCGCTATGAGTTGCAAGCGACTCGATGGCATATAACAACAACAACAACATCATTATCGATTGAACAAGTATGGAGACAGAAAATATCCCTGACACACTCCCTTCCCAATTTCAAACTATGCAGTGCTCCCCTGCTCCATTCGCACAACAGCCTCCTGGTCTAGGTATACATTCCTCATGAGCACAATCAAGTGCTCTGGGATTCACAATGTCAGCCACAACTTGTCATGATCCATACAGTTAAATGCCTTTGCATAGTCAATAAAGCACAAACAGACATTCTGGTGTTTGTTACTTTCAGCCAGGATCCATCTGACATCAGCGATGATATCCCTGATGCCACGGCCTCTTCTAAATCCCACTTGAACTTCTGGCAATTCCCTATGTATGTACTATTCCAGCTGTTTTTGAAGGATCTTCAGCAGTATTTTGTTAGCATGTGATATCAATGATATTGTTCAATAATTTCCACACCGAGCTGAATCACCCTTCTTGGGCAAATAGGATCTGGTGGGCAGGCCTTTGTATTTAAAATGTGGTCTAGTCCTGCCTCTGAATAAGCCTGTAGCTTGGTGATGTTGGATCCTGGTGGGTAAGTTCTTGTGATTTATCTGAAAACCAGGGTAAACTATTTGGATATTTCTAAATTGTGTTAGCAATCAAGTGTAAGCTGATTAACTGTATCTGATCTTGTTTACAATCAGCTTGGTGGTAAGCCTCTGTAAGAGCAAAGAGGATCTGGTGGTCGGGCCTTGGTATTTAAAATTCTGCTATTGATCATGTTTAGAAAGAATGTTATTATAAGTGGTGCAGCACTTGTCTGTCAGTTTGCTGTGCTGTGATTACTTGGTGTTGCTTTGATACTAAATCTTTGCCATCAGTATGTCAAACTCCCAAAGGGTTTCCCATCGTGGACAGGTTTTGGTGGAGTTGCCTGATTGAAACAGTCTAGGAAGCAGGATGGGCTGTCCACTTCCTAAATAAAAGGCTTTTGAAAACTCTATGAACACTAGACAAAGAGGTACTACCATAACTCCTTCAATAACAGTCAAACAAAAAACAAACCCACTGTCCTTCAGAGCATTCTAACAGTGACCTTGGGGCTAGAATAGAACTGTGCCTTATGGTTTCCAAAGCTGTATACCTTTACAGAAACTGACTGCCACATCTTTCTCCTGTAGAGCTGCTTGGAGATTCAACTCACTAACCTTTCTCTCAACATCCCAAAGCTTAACCCACTGTGTCACCAGCACTCCTAGTAATAGCCATAGGGAGCTAGAACCCACCAGGAATTCCTGCTCAGTTTGTACTAATCATTTAAATAACAATTCGATGGGGATTTTTAAAATTTACTTTTAACATAAACAGGAATCAAAAGTGATATAAGTGGGGGCTTTCTAATTCAAATTAAATAGGGTTTTGCTTCTTTAGCAAGTATCCAAACTTAGAAAACCTGATAGTCATTCTTCTACTTTACTCTCAAGGTTTCAAGAAAAAATGGTGAAATACCTAAACAAATTATCTTACTCTTTCAATAAAAAAAAGTTTCCTGAGAGAATTCTTCCTCTCACCACATCATTGAACCCTTCTCGTCTGGTTGCAGCATACATAGCCTCAGTTGACACATTAATGTCACATCGGTGACCTGAAAACAAAACAAAAAAAAAGGTGAACATAACTTCAAAAGAAAGTAAAGTTCTGGCTAAAAGCCAGATCTAGACACACACTTATGACCAACTCTAGAATCTTGGGAGATTGCCCTTAATGCTTTTGTTCCTTCATCTGCCTTATGATACATGTGTTTGTCATGAACCAAAGAAAGAGACAGAAAAAAAATATCCAAGAAAGAAACTTACTTTCTTAATTCCCTCATTCATTCAAACACTGATTAAGCTTCTACCATGTACTAGAGACTGCATTAGAAGGATTGAAGTAAAAAAAAAAAAAAAAAAGGACTGAAGGGTAACAAAGATGATGTCCTTTCAAGAAATTCATAGTGGAGAGTGATGAACTAAACATATACATCTTTTTAATGATGTATATAAGTAAAATGTTAAACTGACCAAAGTAAAAATTATTCATGATTTATGTTCCTGAAATATTAACATTATCTTAGATGATATTTTCCTTGCTGGTAATAAATGACCATTTCAAATGTCTGAGGCAGCAGTCATCTTACCATATTCTAGTCCATCAAATCTTGCCATATTGGATGCCACTTCTGAGGTACACAATATATGATAGCAGACAATTGAATAACTGGTGTGAGGCAGGGACACTTCAATTACTTTAGCCCCCTCAGAGTCAAAGAGGTCAGCAGCTTTGGTCCAAAGAGACTGTACTTCACTTGATAATTCTGGTACAAGATATTCCTTTGTGGGAAAAAGTCAAGACAAAGAAATTAAAACATCTGTTCTGATAATTTTACAGAAAACTGAACTCACAGACTTTTAGCAATACATTAGAAAAACTGATTAAATTGCTAGCACATTACTAAAAGACTGAAACCATTTGAGCTCATTTAGAGATATCTGTCATAATAGTACTCTTCCAGATAACTTTACTATAGTATTTCTAAAAAAAATTCCATTATAGCATACTTTACTATCATCTTATAAAACTGGGATTCAATGAAGGAGTGAAAGCCCAGAATCCCTGTGAATGTTCATTGAAACTAATAAAAATTTAATAATAATACAAAAAAAACAAAACAAAACTGGGATTCAGAGAAGTGTAGTGACCAGGACATTTATTAAGGACTGAAATCACTGTAATTTACTGGCATTCAAGAGAGAGGTAAGATGTTCCTCTAATGGTCTAATACTAGTATACAATAACCATGAAGATGGCCTCAATACCAAATACGTTTTCAAAAATAAGCATACTAATAAATTCTTTTAATATAAAATAATACAGAAACAGAAAATATAATTAACATTTAAGGCTGTTTATAGCATGACATGCACAGTCGTAGACAGGATGAGCTGGGTTAAACAATTTTAACTGTGAGATATCTATTTGGGGAACTTAGATATGTTAGTTATTGATGTATCAAGTATTTTTCTGCCAATAACATGTTCCTTTTACATTGTTTACGAATTGCTTCTTCTTTCCCGGAGGTATTTTCAAAAGCACTGTTTTATCAATTTTTTTAATTAAGTAATTTGTTTATTGTACTGCATTTACAAAGAAAACAGACAATGCACCCAGTATAAAGAATAAAAATACTCCGGGATGTATTTTTAACTGAGGGAAATCGAATCCTTTAGCGAGATCAAGGTAATTTAAAATTACAGTGATTAAGCTCAATAAAGGTACGCAGGGCAGATCAAGTTCTACAGCTGCTTCTTTGCATGCTCTCTAAATTCATCTGGCTCCTTAAATGATAGGAGGGGGAGAGCCCTTATGTGGTACAGAAACATTTCAAAAATGAAGATAGAGGTATCACTCTCATTAAAAATTTTTTTTAAAGTATACTACTATTAAGAAAGTAGCACAGTGCACTTATGAATATACCTCCTTGGGGAAAAGAGTAGTTGGCAGATAAAACTCCAAGCCAGTCTTCTGAGGCCCTCTGGGTGAACTCAAATGGCCACTCATTAGCAGAGACCCAGAAACTCCATAACAGGGAAAGCAGTAGCAATAAAAATAGTTAGAATAATAGCACTTATTGAGCCTTTACTACAAAAATAAGGGTTTAAGTACGTCATATTGTTGTTGTTGTAGTTACGTGCTGTTGAGTCACTTGCAACTCCTAGTGACCCTATGTACAATAAGCCCTGCACTATCTTGTGCCAACCTTATTGTCTCTAATATTCCTACCCTCATTACCCGAGTCACTGAATCAATCCATCTCATTGAAAGTTTCCCTCTGTAGGAGTTAAGAAACTATGGCCAATAAACAAATGTGACTAAATATTTTTTAAATGAAAGTTTCATTAGTAGACAGTGCAGCAAGAGTGGCAAGGTATAACAGGGCAGCAAGTTATAGATATTGGAGAGGATGTGGTGAGAAAGGAACTCATATACATTGTTGGTGGGATTGTAAAATGGTGCAACCATTCTGGAAGGCAGTTTGGAGATTCCTCAAAAAGCTGAACACAGAAATTCCATATGATCCAGCTGTTCCACTACTTGAAATATATACCCTGAGAATATGAGAACTGAGGCACAAACTGAGATTTGTACACCAATGTTCACAACAGCAGTATTCACCATTGCAAAAACATGGAAACAACCCAAATGTCAAACCACAAACTAATGGATTGAGAAATTATGGTACATTCACACAATGGAATACTATGCAGCTCGGAGGAGCAATAACTCTGTAAATTATTACCTAACTTGGGAGGGACTAGAGAGCATCAGGCTGAGTGAACTAACTCAATCCCGTTATAAATTTATAAATATTGTATTAAACCATTATTGTAGAATGAGTATAAGGATCCAGGAAGATGGAAGAGGCTGGATGCAGAGGGATGTGGATGTGCAGGGGGAAGTGGTATTACTCATTGGGTTGTACAATTTGATGGGGGGGGGAATGTGAGGGAAATGGAAAGAATTCATTCAAATTTGTATTTGAATTTTGTACAAAAACTAGTAGAAAAAAAAGAAGACAGTGAGGTTCTTCATTTACATATTATCTATGTCTGTTTTCGTACTAAAACTGAGAGGTTATATATATATTCAAGTCTATATGGTCTTCGCAATTGCTTGCTATGCATCAGAGAGCTAGATAATGACTAAGGATGATAGAGAATTGATGGACTGCTAGGACAACAAACAGGTTCATCCTAGAGAGGTTTAAACCAGGCTGCTCCTTGGAGGCAAGGATTCTGAAGCTTTGTCTAACATATACTTTGGACATGTTGCAAGGCGGGATCAGTCCTTGGAGAGGGACATCATGCTTGCAAGGGTGGAGGGACAGTGCAAGAGAGGAAGACCCTAGATGAGACTGATTGATTTAGTCACGGGGGCAATCGGGGTAGGTTTGTCAGAGACAATAAGGTTGGCGCAAGATAGAGCAGGGTTTAGGACTCTTGCACATAGGGTCCTTATGAGTCTCAGGTGACTCGATGGCCCATAACAACAAAAATATGGTCCACATAGCCAAAAATGTTTACTATGTGGACCTTTACAGAAAAAGTTTCCAGACCCTGCTTTACATAATTCTCTAATTGAACCTTCACAATTCTCTAGGTAAATACTATTAACTATATCTTACAGATGGGTAGATTGATCTCATATGCTCAAGATCAGATAGCTGAAAGTGGTAGAGTAGAGTAAAATCCAACCAGTCAGTCTTTCAGTGCTCAATGTTTGACTTGATAACATTTCTGTATAGTAAGGAATGGAAGGAGTTACCTTTGGAATTCCTATACACAGTTTGCTCACATCTGTCAAAGTAGGAAGCCTAAATGGCTTAATAGGTTCTTGTATTGTGGTAGAATCTTTGGGATCATGCCCAGCCAGAACATCTATAAGGAGAAATACTTATGAGCAACAGATATATCGTTTTACAGTGAAATGATAATGCTTTAAAGCTATATGGAATCATATAAATACCCAACACAATGGCTGCATCATCCACACATCTGGTTAAGATTCCTGGCACATCCATTGAATTCACGAGGGGAATGAGACCATGACGGGAAACTAATCCATAGCTTGGTTTTAAACCAACAAGCCCACAAAGCGCAGCTGGATTTCTGGTTGATCCTCCTGTGTCAGATCCTAAAGCTCTGGAATTCAAGCAAGATTATTTTTAGAAGAACGACAATTACTAATTGTATTTGAAATCTATCTTTTGAGATTTATATTTTTAAACTATTTTTCTCCTGGTGACACAAAAGGAACACATACTTATCAGAGATAAATTATGAAGTAACAATATTCCACTATCCACACCTTTGATACCAGCAGTCAAGAAATAAAAGTATCTGATGTTTTGGGAAAATCTGCTGTCAAGGACCTCTCCAAAGGTGCTAAAGAGTAACAGTGTCAGTTTAAAGATTAAGGTGTGTTGAGTCAAGCCATGGTCTTTTCAATTACTTGCTATACATCTGAAAGTTGGACAGTGACTAAGGAGGATAGAAAAATCGATGCCTTTGCACTGTGGTGCCGGAGAAGAATACTGAATATTCTACTGACTTAGAGAAAGTGCAGCTAGGGTGCTTTCAGAGGCAAGGATGGTGAAAGTTCATCTCACATACTTTGGGTACATTGTCAGAGGGGGTCAGTCCTTGGGAAAAGGCTGAGGCAGGGAGAGATAGAGGGTCAGAGGAAAAGAAGACGACCCTCAACAAGATGGATTAGCAATGACTGTAACAACGGGCTCCAGCACACGGGAGATGGTGAGGACAGTGCAGGACAGGGAAAGAAGACACAGCCTTCTGCTACCTCATTTAGAATCTTATGTAAAGATGTACCATAATTTATTTCAACATTTATGTTGCTTCCAACTTGAATAACTGTGCAATATATAATTTGGTAATAAACATAAAACTTGGCCCAAATGTCTAAGTAGTTTGTACACTAGCTTCCAAGAAACGGAATTAACCCAGCCAAAAAGGCTGCCAATAATGTTCTTGATGTATATTATAGAATTATTTTCAGAAAAGTTATGCCCTCTTATAGTCCCAACTGCAATGAATCAGTGTTTTAATGTTTCTTTACCATCAGAGTATTATCATCTTTTAAAAATTTGTTAGTAATGAAAACCTTTGCTAATAAGCTTTTCTTTGAATAATTTTTCAGATTTATTTGGATTTGTATTGTCCATCTGTGAGGTGTCTGTTTAGTTCTTTGCTCAATTATCCCAGGCACATACTTTTCTTATTTAAAAAGATAATAAAATAAAAAGTTCTCCTGATTAGAAAAGTAGTATATGCTTTTTGCAAAAATGAAAATATATTCTCTCTCTCCCTCAGGGAGTTCTGGTGGCTTAATAGATAAGGAGTTACACTAACACATCAAAAGCCAGTGATTAGAATTCACCAGCTGTTCTATGGAACAAAGATGGGCTAACTAGGAAGAAATCTGGGCTACCTCTTCCTGTGCAATTTATAGCTTTTGAAAACCTGCTGAAGGCTCAGCTGTGAGGTGGTTCTAACTTGAGGGCAATGAACAACACCATCTATATCTCTCTCTATCTGGTGGCAGTAGTACGAAGCTGTTCCACAATCTTAAAGGCACATGGTTTGAATCCACCAGCTGCTCTGAGGGAGAAGGATGGGCAATTTCCTTCCATGTGATTTACTGCCTCTGAAAACCTGCCGGAGGGTCAGCTATGGGTCGATTCTGACCTGACAGCTCACAACAGGTCTTCCTCTTTTTTTTCTAACTTAGTTTTCCCCAAATTGAATTCTGGTTTCCTTCACCCTTTCTCAACTTCCTCCTGTAGTCTTCCCCTACTCAGAAAATGGTAGCACAGTCTTTTCAGTTCTTGAACCAGAAAGCTTGAAGTTGCCATAGATGTCTCTGTTTCTCTGAAATATCACCAATAGCACCCTTAGGCCAGGCAAGCGTGGGGGTCCACACTTAGTAGAATTTTATTTAAAATTTTCAAAGCTTCTCTCCAGTGGCTGTGAACTCCCAAAAGCAGCAGTGTTTTCTGAATGGGGCACCCAAGCCCAGAGGAGGAACTGTGAGGGTCCCACACGGTTTCCTTCTACCTCTACTCCCAGTACATGGGGATGACCAGAAGCCTGAGGAACTCTGGAATAAAGGTGAACTTCCAAATGAAGACAGGCTAGGATGAAAGATTGGCCAGCCAATTCCAAATTAACAGGCCTTCAAAAGTCCTATGAACAATAGAGCACATTTAGACTAGTAGATGTAGCATTGCTGGTTGAGCCCTCATATTGGGAAACACAAATGAAGAGGAACAGTTGTAAACAGTTACTAATACTTGGAACATGGAATGTAAGGAGCATGAATGTAGGAAAATTGGACCTTGTTAAAAAAGAAATGGAATGCATATTGACATACTAGGCATTGGCAAGTTGAGACAGATTGCTATGGACTACTTCGAATCAGACAGACATATGTCCACTGTGCCAGGAATGAAAAAGTGAGGCAAATAGAGTCACATTCATAGTAAAAAAGACCATTTCTAGCTCTATCCTGAAATACAATGTTGTGAATGACAGGATAATACCCATACGCATACAAAACCTATTAATACCACTATCATTCAAATATATGCACCAACAACTAGAGCAAGAAAGGAGGAAAAAGTGTATTTCTATCAACTCTTACAGTCTGAAAACAATCAAGAAAGGAGGAAAAAGTGTATTTCTATCAACTCTTACAGTCTTAAAACAATCGAACATGCAACCAAGATTCATTAATAATAACTGATGGCTGGAACGATCCAGTGGGGAAAAAGGAAGAAAGATCAGTAGTTAGAAAGTATAGATATGGTGACAGGAATGAGTTGCAGATAGAATAAAAGAATTTTGCACCATCGATGATTTATTCATTGCAAATACCTTTTAAAAAAGCATAAACTGCAATTATACACATGGACCTCACCTTAAGGAATACATAGTAATCAGATTAATTACAGCTATGGAGAGAATCACTGGAGATGCTGTGAAAACTAGGCCAGGTGCTCACTGTGAAACAGAACATCAACTATTCATGTACAAGTTCCAATTGAAGCTAAAGAAAATGAAAACAAATTCCCAAGAACCAAAATATGACCTGAATTAAAAAATCATCTCAAAAACAGGTTTGAAGCCTTTAACAATAATGAACGAAGACCAGATGAGCATTGGGAAGCTATGATCCATGAACAATGCAAAAGGTCATTGTTAATTAAGACAGAAGAAAAGACAGAGAAGGATGTCAGAAGAGACTCTGAATATTTTACTAGAACTCTGAGGAGCTTAGCAAAGGGATGAAATCAGAAAGTTGATGAGCTGAACAGAAGATTTCAAAGGGCAGCTCAGGAAGACAAAGCAAAGTATTATAATGAAATGTGCAAAGAGGTGGAGTTAGAAAAGTAAAAGGGATGAACTAACTTGACATTTCTTAAGCTGAAGGAACTGAAGAACAAATTCAAGCCTCAAGTTGTAATACTTAAGTATGCTATGAGCAGAACACTGAGTGATCCAGGAAGCATCAAAAGACTATGGAAGGTACATAGAAACAGTGTACTGAAAAGTACTGGCTGACACATGGAGGACAAAAGACCATATTTATTCCCATTCCAAAAAAGGTGAGCCAACAGAGTGCTAAAAATACTGAACAATGTCACCAATAGCACACACAAGCAAAATTATGTTGACGATATTAAAAAAAACCAAACCAAACCAACTGGAATAGTATATTGACAGAGAACTGCCAGAAATACAAGCTGGGTTTAGAAGAGACCGTGGCACTAGGGATATCAGTGTCAATGCCAGATGGATCTTGGCTGAAAGCAGAAAGTACCAGAAGAAGGTCTATTTGTTCTTTCATGACTACACAGAGGCATTTGACTGTGTATCAAACAAATTGTGGCTAACATTGAGAAGAATAGGAATCTTAGAACACTTGATGGTACTTCGGCAAAACCTAAACATAGACCAGGAAACAGACTAACAGAGCAAGGAAACACTACATGGTACAAGATCAAGAAAGGAGTGTGTCAGGTATATGTCCTTTCTCATAAGTTATCAATTTTTATGTGAAATAGATCATTTGGGAGGCTATACTCTATGAAGTAGAATGTGCCATCAGTAATGAAGGAAGATTCATCAACAACCTGCATTATGCAGATTACACAATCGTCCTCACCAAAACTGAGGAGGACCTTAAAAGTTTGCTGCTGAAGATCAACAGCTGCAGTCTTCAATATGGAGTGAAGCTCAATATCAAGAAAACAAAGATTCTCACCACAGGGCCAACTGGCAGCGTCATGATAGATGGTGAAGAGAATGAGATTGTTAACTCATCTTGCTTGGCTCCACAATCAACACTCTTAGTGGCAGCAGTCAGGAAATCAAAATACAAGTTGGTTTGGCAGTCTGCTGTCAGCGATCTCTCTAGAGTGCTATGGAGCAATGATGTCAGTCTAGAGACTAAAGTACACCTGATCCAAGTCATAGTCTTATCATTTACTTGCTATGCATCTGAGAGCTTGACAATGACTAAGGATGACAAAAGAAAAATCAATGCCTTTGAATTGTGGTGCTGGAGAAGAGTATTGAACATACTATGGACTGCCAAGAGAACAAACAAAAGAAAAATCAATGCTTGAGTTGTGGTGCTGGAAAAAGAGTACTGAAAATACCATGAACTGCAAAGAGAACAAACAGGTCTGTGGTGGAAAGGTGAAAGCAGGTTGCTCCTTGAAGGCAAGAATTTTTATTTTGAAGCTCTGTCTCACATACCTTGGACATGTTGCCAGGAAGGACCAGTCCTTGAAGAAGGACATCATGCTTGGAAAGGTGGAGGGACAGAACAAGAGAAGACGACCCTGGATGAGGGTTCAAAAACACAGTTACTGTGGCCATGGGGCCAGGTGTGTCAGATACATTGAGATTGGCTCAAGATAGGACAGATAGGGTTCAGAGCTATTGTTCATAGGGTTGCTATGAGTCGTAGTTGATCCAATAACTCATACAATAACAAAAATATATAATATATACATATTATATATTATATTCCATTACATGCTGCACTCCTAACCAATAAGGCTAGCACCAGACTTTTTAATCCAGCAGGTGCTTTCGGTAGAAGGTAGGGCAATATCCACGCATTAAGATTTACAGCTTCAAGCTGAACTTAGAATTCCCATATGACCTAGCAATTCCACTGCTATGAATATACACCAAGGAAATTAGAACTGAAATATGAATGGAGACATGTACACCTACGTTCACAGAAGTGTTATTCACAATAGCAAAAAAAAAAAAAAAATGGAAACAGCCCGAACATCCATAAACACAGGAATGGATTGAGAAACTGCAGTACAGTCACACAATGGAACTATGTACCACTAAGGAACAATTATTTCATAAAATAGAATGTAACATAGGTGAGTCTAGAGAGCATTATGCTGAGTGAACTAATTTGGTCTCAAGGGTAAATACTGCATACATCCATAATTGTAAAAATGGAAGGACAACTAGTTAGATGGATGTGAATGTCCGAAAAGGGAAAGGGGAAAGAGGGAAGGGGGCAGAAAAAGGGATAGTAGAGTTTAGCGGAAGATGGGGCTGTGTGAAGGAATAGGAAAGATTCAATGGGGACCCAATAATAGACATAGATCATTAGTAATTGGGTGTATGAAATATAGCGTATAATGTATAATTGCACAATGTAAATGAAGGATTGTAGAAAACAGTTAAACAAATGAAACAATGCCAAAAAACTATTGTACATAAGCCAACAAAAACAGAAACAAAGTGAAAGAAACCATTTACAGCCTCAGAAACCCAATGAAGCACTGCCATGGGTTGGAATCAACTAGAGGGCAGTGGAATGTGATTACCTCATAAATAAAACTTACAATCACCAGTTGCTCAGTAAAATCACCAGTCGATTCTAACTCCTGGTGACCCATGTGTGTCAGAGTACTGTGCTTTATAGTTTTCTTTTCTTTATTGTTTAAATATTGAACACTTCATGAATTTTACATGTCACCTTTGCACAGGAGCTATGTTAATTTTGAAATACGTGCTACTGATGTAAGCACCTTCATAGGGATTTCAATGATGATTTTTTCCAAGTAGATTGCCAGGTATTCTTCTAAGGCACTTTTAGGTGAGCTTGAATCTCCAACCCTTCAGTTAGCAGCTGTATGGGTTAACTCTTTGTAACTCCTTGAGATTGTTCCTGTAGAGTCAGCCCCATATACTATTAGCAGTTTCACGGTATACTCCTCCAGATGATTCAATGTAGCTGCTAACATATATTACTAACATACTAATCCTGTTATCAATTTCTAGATATACCTATACAGACTATTCAGTGCAGCTACTTATTATTTTTAACAGTAATAGGTCTTCCTATACATAATGATCTACAACTTGTGTTTTACTTAAATCTTGGATAGATTTCTACATCACAACATAATACTATATTTTATTCTTTTTTAGTGGCCTCATAGCATTCCAAGAAGCTTTTTGGTTCTAAAACTATCATAAAAGAAAGAAATCAAAAGAAAGGAAAACAGAAGAATAGTTTGCAGTTTGCGATGCAGACATTCTGCAGCTACTTTTGGCCTGTTTTCTACTGATTGCATTTAAAATGAAGCTTTGGATTTAACAAGGCTCCTAACAATAACATGACAGTTGTGCTCTCCAAAAAATGCAAATTATATCTCCTTGCTTACCAAGTCAATTTAAGATACAGAATCAGACCGTTGCTTTTACAATTTTTCAAAGGATGCATTTTCTTATTAGGACTCACTGACACCTGTGTAATAAAGCAGAACCTACCTTCCCATAGGAATTACGTGTCAAAATGCCATCTTCTCAAAGCACATTCGGAAAGATGAACGCTAAGTGGGGTGATAAGGATAGAAAAAAGTACCTCATCTTGCCGTTCTAACTTGTCAGAATTCTCATTAATATTAATGCAATGCTATAAAATTCCACAAAGATAAAATGAAATGGTTTTAACTTGTTAACAAGATTTCAAGAAAATGGCAAATAAAACAACCTCAAATAAAGAAACCCCTAAACCTGCAGAACCTAAATTTCCAGAGAAATAAATTTATTGGCTGCAATACCTGTAAAACTGTTTAGTTTAAATAGATAATTAAGAAGAGATAAAATATATACAGTATTAACAAAGAAACATAATCAATTTGGATAAATTGAGATAAAAATGTTACCTATTATAACAGTTTGAGTGATTTATTCTTCTATAAATTGAAAGCAAATGGGACATAAGACAAAGTAAGATCAATAGATTCTTTTAAAATACAAAGTATGACATATGAACAGATCAGCTTCTAACAAATGTGGGAAAAAAATTATTTACTGACACATTTTCAAGTATGGGTTTATAAAACACTTATTATCCTGTTGCTACATGGTTTGAATACACTAGCTGCTTCACAGGAGAAAGATGGCCAGTCAACTCCAATGTGATTGGCTGTCTCTGAAAACCCACTGGAGGGTAAACTAAGAGTCAGATCTGACTTGACAGTACATCACAACTAACAGTACTGCTGCCTTTTGAGCCCTTCTGCTGCACACTACAGAGAGCTGCACTGCTAACGTTAAGGCGGTACTGTTCTGGCAGCTCAAATCCACTAGCTACTCCTCAGGAAAGAGATGGCTGAAGGATCAGCTGTAAGTCGACTCGATCTGCTGGAGCTTCAGCTACGAGTTGACTCAACGAGTGAGTGATACATATGAGAAGCATATCTTTCTGTTTTTTACAAAAGTCAGATTTCTCAGAAGAGGAAATCATTACTATTAGTTTAACTAGCTCAGCAGTATGTTTAGCTTAGGGCATGTTGTTATTGTTAAGGGCCACTGAGCCAAGCATGACCCATACCAACCCTATAAACAAACAAGAATCTCGTCCTATCCTGTGCCATCCTCACCATCTGATACACTTGAGCCCACAGCTGCAGTCACTGTGTTAATACATCTTGATGGAAGTTTTCCTCTCTTTCGTTAGTCCCTAAATATTTGTTCAATTGGACCAAGGGATTGATTATGTATAAAATGAAAATCAATGAAGGCTTTCTGCTAACTAGTTTATTCTGCAAGATCTATAAAATTGTAATTTGAAAGCGTAGTATGGAGAAAAAGATCAAATGCTATTTTACATTAATATTAAGTGTATACAGTATACAAAGTACTGTATTAAAAAAACATTGTCATTAAGTTGGAACCAACTCCTGGCTGAATCTCTGGTGGGCTTTTAGAAGCTGTACACTGCACAGGAGGTACTATAGATGCACTAAGTTGAATAGTGCATCCGTAGTTATGTTGTTGCCTGTGACTCACAGTGACCCTGTGTACAAGAGCTCTGAAGCTTGTCCTGTCCTGAGCCAGTCTCACTAACTCTGACACACCTACTCTGATTGCTCCAGATACTGTATCACTCTGTCTCATCCATGATCTTCCTATTCTGCGCTGTCCCTCCCTCCACTCTTCCCAGCATGATGTCCTACTCCAAGGACAAGTCCCTCCTGGCCACATGCTCAAAGTATGTGAGATGGAGTTTCAAAATCTTAGCCTCCAAGGCGCAACTTGGTTTCACCCTTTCCAAGACAGACTTCTTTGTTTTCTTGGTGGTCCAGGTTCAAGACTCTTCTCCAGCACCACAACTCAAAGGCTACAATTCTTCTGTCATCATTAGACATCATCTACCTCTCTGATGCAGAGCAAGTAATGGTGAATACCATGGCCTGGATCATTGCTTTTCAGCACTCTGGAGAGGTCCCTGATAGCAGATTTTCCCAAAGCAATTAGTCTTTTGATTTCTTGACTGCTGTTGCCAAGAGTGTTGATTGTGAAGCCGAGCAAACTGTAATTGTTAACAACCTCCATCTCTCCTCCATCATCATGGTGCTGCCATATTTGTATAAGAAATAAAATATCAAGGCATTAACTACTCTATTGTTCGATGGAGCTCTGGTGGTCCACAGTCCACAGTCCACAGGCCACAGCACTGTTGTAATATGAACCAAAAGGTCAACAGGTTCCATCAGCAGCTCTAAGGGAGAAATATGGGTGACTTCCTTCCTTTTATAATCACTACAGAAGGTTCCCATGATTTGGAATTGATTTGATGGCAGCATGTTTATTTGCATTTGGTTGGTTTTTAAAATACAACTAGGAAAAGCATCTTACGCAAAGCATGTGAATGCAGACACAGCTGCCGCACTGCCGCCCGAGCTTCCTCCGGTTATGAGCCAATTGGAATCTTCATTTTCACCATGGGGCTTCTGCTTTCTCTTTTCTCTATACTGCTTAGAGTAACTCCAAGGGTTTTTCACTGGTCCAAACACACCATCTGTACTTCCCGATCTGAAAGAAAAATGTGAGACACCTTAGTAAACTTTCCTTTTATGTCCAATATTCATCTCCTAAGTATATTATGTACTTCTGATCCTCAATGAGCTTTTAATCCTCTCCTGGAGCTGGAGTTGGAAAGGGGGAGGAAGCATGCTGTAATGTAGCCTTGTTAACGAGAAAGTTGACTTGAAAAGGTCTAAGATGGGATATGGTGCAAAGCAGAAAACTAGGCTGCTAACACAAGATTTTATCCCAGTTGACAATCCAAGTCAGCTCTAGACAATTTCCCTTGTAAATTCAAATCTTCCTGTTGAAAAGTGTCATAAATGTTCAAATGCTAACAAGAAGTCTTTGAAAAGTCTTTTCAAAGAATCTTGTTCCTAATCAGATGTTTTAAGAAGAGTATTTTTAAGTAGAATGCTAATAACTTCAATTATTAAATAATTTCAATCTCATAGGTAAAATGCAAAAAAAATACTATGAAAAACACTGTGTACTTTTTAGCAATGAACCCATTTGCTTTCTCATTTGCATGCGGTATGTATCTCTATTTATAGACACACACAAAGCATATTTTCCTCTGAAACACTTAAAAAGTTATAGTTACAGTAACCTTTACCCTGAAATATTCCAGTATGTATTTAATATGCATTTCCTAAGGATTATCTTTTATAGTCACAATATGGTCATCAAACTTAATGAATTTAATATTAATATAAGATTTTTATCTAACCAACTATTCATAATTTAATTTGCCAACTGATCTAATAATGTCCTTTATAACATTTTCCTCCTTCCAATAGAGGATCAACTCTAGAGTCCAGTATTGAATTTAGTTGTAATAGCTCTTTAGCCTTCTTTTTAATTCTTTTAAAAATCATTGTTTTAAATGGTTGTTTCCATTTTGGGCAAAGACATCTGATCTCATCATTTCTATTCAAAATGTACTAGCTTAGTTTCCAAGCACTGTTGTATCAAAAATACCACAAGTGGGTGGCCTTAAAGAACACAAATTTATTTTCTCACAATTCAAAACACTATAGGTTTGATTTTAGAACCCTGTCTGGGGGAAGGGAGCACTGGTAGCCTGGTGGTGAGGAGTTATGCTGCCAACCCAAAGGCAGTTCAAATTCTCTAGTAGCTCCACAGGAACATGATGGGTAATCTCCTCCTGCTGAATTTTCAGCCCCTGAAAAACCTAGAGGGTCTGCTATGAGTCAGTTCTAACTACACAGCAATGAGAGAGAGAAAAGAAGAAAGACTCTAGGTTAAGACTCTAGGTTGTCTCTCTGCCATCTCTGGAGGAAGCTTTTTTCGGTAGCCCAGACATTCCTTGGCTTTTTTTAGCAGTCTCTAGGTGGTATTTATTATGTTTTTTATCTCTGCTTGCTTGTATATACTGTCCCCTTTCCATGTTTCACAAATGATCAATTGGAAGATGCACCCTGTATGGCTTCATTAATATAACACAGAAAACCCTATTTCCAAATGGGAATTGGGTTTATTCTATTGGGTTTAATTGGGTCAAATGAAACCAATAGGGCAACTTATCGTGGCTACAAGAGAAACAAGGTCAACAGAAATATATATACTAGCAAAAATTAGAAAAAACATTTTTTTCTATAAAATAAATAAAACATCACATACTTAAGGATAAGTCAAACAAAAGGAGCCTTGTTGGGGTGGGATGCAATGTATTATTAGGCTATTAACTAAAAGCTTAGTGGTTCGAATGGAGCAGTTTCACCAAGTGAGAGACAGTCTCTCCCTGTTAAGGATTTACAACCTTAGACACCTGAGGGAGGGTCACTGTGAGTCGGATTTGACTTGAGGACAGTGGGTAAGCGAAACAAATTATGTGCAAGATTTATATGCAGAAAATGAAAAAAAAATGTTGAGAAAAATGAAACAAAGTCTAAACATGGAGAGATATATGGAGTAAATGGATCAGAAGATAAATTGCTGAGGTGTGACTTCTTGATTCTTGGTGGTGTCACCAAGATGGTAGAGTAAGAAGCTCTACAGATCCCACATAGCAATACTGAAAAACAAGTAGACACTGTCAGAGCTAACTTTGTTGGAACTCTGATAAAAATCAAAGGCTCACATTTGCAAATAACCAAATGCTGAATCAAGGAAAAGGCAATGATAGGAAAACATTGTGACTTTTTGTTATACGTTCTTCTCCCACCTGAGTAAAAACTACTTGAAGTCAGAGCCCATGTTGTCAGCTATAATTCTGGTCTTGGGACCTCAAGGGAGCAGAGCGCACCTGCTGGGTGGCTCCATAAAGGACTAAGGCTTTCCATGATGGAAAATGGACTTATCAGGGAAATACAAACTAAAATCAAAATGAGCTATGACTACATGTCTTTTAGACAATCAAAGATAGTCATAGAGAGGGACTGGGAAACTGGCATAGGGTTCTCAAGAAATTACCTCTCTGCTTTTGTTGTTGTTAAGTGTCACAGAGTGAGTGACAACTCATAATGACTCTATGAACAACAGAGCTATCCTTACTACCCTCCCGATCTCTGTCATATTCATGCCCACTGCCTGCCAAGTGAGGGTCTTCCTCTCTTTCTCTGACCCTCCACCTACATTTAATGGAATCAAAGATATTGGTGGAAGAAATAGAAAAGCATATTTTAATTTTACTTACCCCATAGCAAACTCATCTAAATTTGTTTTTCCTATAAGTAGAGCTCCCTGATCCAACAACTTCTGAACTACGGTAGCATTATAAGGTGGTACATAACCTGAAAAAGAAAAAAAAAACCACTTCATTCTTTTCATAAGAAAAAACACAGACGTCATCAACCTAGAGAACATATAAAGTATATACAGAGAACAAATGCAATTTTAAATTGCTACTAAACAGGTAACTTACATTTATTAATTTTTCTTAAGTAGTTTGCACTTCCTTCAAAGAGTTATTTTCTTCTATTGATAGCTACAGTGTTTTTCAAGAGATACTTTCTTCCAAATAATCATTTGTATGATCTCCATTTTTACACTCTGAAAACACTGACTTTAACAGTGAGTAATATCATGAAACTGCAGAGCAGCCAGTGACTTTCCTAATTCTTTGAAACTAATAACATTATTATTTTATTCACTGTACCGGACTTCTTCCCAGATGATGTTATATATTACAAAGCAATTTTCACATATTTTCCAGTATAAATAGATTTTTATCCTCCATTAAAATCACTTCCATCTTTTATAACCTTTTAGTGTACATGCAGCTATCAGAGGAACCTGCAGCAAATTCCTTAATGAGTGTATTTTTAGTGAGTGGTATTCTGGATAACTTTTTTATCATTATCCAAAGATCTTGATACCTACTCAACTGTAAAGAAGAAAATTGGCTATAGGTGCTATGTGGCCATTCTGACACATAATGACCCTCCAGAACAGAGAAGAACTGCTTCATAGAGTATCCAAGGCTGTCGCTATGAGCTGCAAGTGACTCGACAGCACATAACAACAATAACAACAGCAATCTTTGTGGTAAGAGATTGTCAGGTCTCACCAGGACAAAGGTAGGTGATCGCCTCCTGTGTGATTTACACCTTCCAAAAACCCACTAGAGGGTCAGCCTGAAACCACATCAGTTGAAACCATGAGTGGGTTTCAACTTGACAGCAATGCGTTTTCTCCCTCAGAGCTGTTGGTGGGTTTGAACCACTGATCTTTTAGTTGTTGTCAGGTGTCATCAAGTTGAGTATGACTCATACCGACCTTTCTAACAGTATGTCTGAACTTTGCCCTATCCTGTGCCACTCTGACTCATCCTTGATATACCTGAGAGCATTGCTATAGTCACTGTGTCGATTCATCTTATTGAGGGTCTTCCTCTCCTTCTGACTCTCCACCTTTTCCATCAGCTGAATATTTAACCAGTGAACCATGGGTACTCCTTAAAGAATAAAACTAGAAGCTAGTGACATAAGAAATGAAGGAGTCTGCATACCCATGTTTATCATGGCTTTGCTCACAATAGCAAAGAGTTAGAAACAACCCAAGTGCCCATCAACAAACAAATGGATAGAGACGCTGTGGCAGTTTCACACAATGGAATACTATGCTGCACTGAAAAACAAGGAACTCATGAAATATTATTCAAAATGGGTGACCCTGGAGGACATTATGCTGAGAGAAATATCTCAGCCACAAAAGGACAAATACTGCATAGCACCACTGTTGTAAAACAGGTCTGACATCAGGGTTGGGGGGAGACTGGAAAGATGGGATAAATAATGTATACTGCATTGAAACAGATGAGGGAGAAAACTGTTTAAAAGGGATATGTGATTAGGTATTATTGTCATGACAGGAGTCCAGAGCGAAGGCTGCATAGTGGAGTGGACCTGGGGGAGGGATTGTAAAACAACGAAAGAATTCTTCTTTTACTTTTCAAAGAGAAGAGTGTACTGGGGGGGAAGGTGGGCAGGGAGAGAAATGCAACAATGAATGAATGGAAATCAAAAGTCTGTAAATTTTCATTAAAATTAATAATAATAATAATAATTAATAACAATAATAAAAGTACATTAAATCAGGGCATGCCAACCATTTCACCATATTCGGCCATGATCATCCTGCTCTCCCCCAATCTCGAGTAAAATTAATAATAATAATAATAATTAATAACAATAATAAAAGAGAGGAAAAAATAAATGAAGGAGTCAGGAAATAAAATACTGGAAAAAGGATGCTTAGTTACACTATCCCCCCCAAATGGGTCATAGTAGCCACTGCAGATTTATTTCTATGTTACTGAGCAGGACTCAGATGTGGCAGTGTGTTTGTGGTGACTGGGTGGATACTGAGCCTCCAACTTCCTAAGTAGAATTCATTAACTAGCTAGTCTGACTATGAAAAATAATTTTACATCTTGAAAGAGTAAATCATAAAAAGAGATAATATTTTATGCCAAGAATGTCAGTGGAGGATATAGGTAGTCTGAGGTTAGCTTGGTGCTTCAGTACTTTACTTTTAACTTAAAATGAATAGCATTTATTTTTAGAAATCATTAATACTCTAGTTAGTTTACCTTTTAGCATGTTTGATGCACATGTTGTCTCAATGCCAGATGTACTAAAATTGTCTTTTACTGCAACAGGAATTCCATCCAAATTCCCAAGTGACTCACCTATGTTAAAAGGTCATGAGAGTGAGAGAGAAGAAAATAGTACAAATTATAGAGACAACAGTATTAAATGTTATAATACTTTCTAATTTTGGCAAAAATATGTCTCAAGATATCAAATTTTGTTAGAGATTATTACAGCTGAACATTATAAAGCTTTATGTATCTATCACTTTCATTTTTATTATACCTCATAAGAAGTTCTTTAAATGAAGTTATGTTTTATGTCATAAGCTTCATTTGCCAAATGGGTACTCCTACATCCAATATTTTTTTTTCTCTAAAAGTATAACAATTAGGTGTAATTAAAAATACTTTACCTTTAGCATATCTCTTCTCTGATTCCTCAGCTTGTTTTAGGGCTACCTCCTCTGTTACAGTAATGTAAGCATTTAAAAACTTAGTCTTCTTGATCAGAGAGAGACATTTTTGGCAGAGTTCTGTTGGAGTAATTTGGCCTTGTTTCAAAGCTGCAGAAACCTAGAATACACACAATGAAATATCCCTTTAATGAGTTTGCAGAAGTTTCAAATATACTGAAGGAGATGATAGATTGTTAAGTAAAATTAGAGGCTTGCATTCAAATTTGAGAGAACTTAAAACCTTTACACTATGCACACCCATGTCTATTGCCGCTTTGTTCACAACAGCAAAGAGTTGGAAACAACCCAAGTGCCCATCAACAAACGAATGGATAGAGAAATTGTGGTATATCCACACAATGGAATATTACGCAGCACTGAAAAACAAGGAACTAATGAAATATTATACAAAATGGATGACCATGGAGGACATTATACTGAGTGAAGTATCTACGTATATCAGTTACAAATAGACAAATACTGTATAATGCCACTGTTATAAAACAGGACTTATATGAGGGTTGGGAAGAAACAGAAAAAAGAGGATAAATAATATATACACCATTGAAACAGATGAGGGAGAGAACTGTATAAAAGGAATATATTATCAGGTATTAGTGGCATGATAAGAGTCCAGAATAAGAGTTGCACTGTAAAATGGTCTGGGGGTGGAGGATGGGGAACTATAAAACAACGAAAGAACTTTTTTTACAAAGAAAAAAGTGACCTGGGGGAAGGGGAGGCAGAGTGGAAAATGTGCAACAATGAATGAATGGAAATTCAAGTTCTTTATAAACTTACATTAAAATCTAAAAAAAAAAAAATAGAAGAAAAAAGCTTTGCACTGAGTACAGCGAATTGAAGAGTAATGCGTTGATCAGTTTGAGAGTGGCAACAACAGTCTGTGCTAACCTAGTAGTCTGATAAACCTGATAATTAGTACAGCACTTGTTTGTCAGTTTGCTGTACTGAAGTAACTTATGTGTGCTGTGATTCTGAAAGCTGTGCCACCAGTGTGTCAAATGCCAGAGGGGCCACTCATGGTGGACAGGTTTTAAGAGCTCTCCCATGTTAAGAAAGACTAGGAAAAGGATTGGACATCTACTTCTGAAATAACAGCCCTCTAAAGACCCTATGAATACTAGAGGGACACAGACATTTATATAGTGTTCAAGGTAGGCACAGATTAAAAGCCAGTCAAAATGAGAAAACAACTGCAAACATCCTTTAATAGTTGGAACATGGAATGTACAAAGTACAAATGCTGGAAAACCAGAAGTTGTGAAAAATGAAATGGAATGCATGAATATTAATTCATTAGTAAGATGAGATGAATTATCCTAAGTGAGATGAGATGGACTGGTATTGGCCACTCTGAGTCAGACATGGTATACAATACCTGGAATGCAAAACAGAGGAAAAATGGCACTGCATTCAGAGTTAGAAAGATAATTCCATGTTCTGTTCTGAAGCATAATGTTGTGAAGGACAGGATAGTGTCCATACACATACAAGGAAGACCTGTTAGTATAACTATTATTCAAATACACACCAATACCTCAAGCCAAAGAGAAGGAAATGAAGATTTTTATGAAATTTTGCAGTCTGAAAGTGACCAAACATACAATCAAGATGTACTAATGATAACTGGTGATAGCAAGACAAAAGTTGGAAACAACAAAGAAGGGAATGAAGTCAGAAAGTACATTCTTGGTGACAGAAATGAGGCCGGAAATAGAATGATTGAATTTTGTATGTTCAATGATTTATTCATTGCAAATGTCTTTTTAAAAAAATACAAATGGTGACTTTACACGTGGACATCAACAGATGGGCTGCATAGGAATCAGATTGACTACATCTGTGGAAGAAATTGTTGGAGAAGCTCAATATCAGCAGTTAAAACCAGGCCAGGAGCTGGGTGTAGAACAGACCATCAATTATTCATGTGCAAGTTCAAATCGAAAAAGCTTTTTTCAATGTGGTGGGAAATATTAAAACAAGTCCATAGGAATCAAAATATGATCTTGAGTCTATACTACTTGAATTAAAAAATCATCTTCAGAATAGATTTGAAGCATTGAACACCAATCATCGAAGACCAGGTAAGCTGTGGGATGAAATCAAGGATCTCATCCATGAAGAGAGCAAAAGGCCATTACAAAGACAGAAGAAAGAAAACCATAAAATGGATGTTAGAAGAGACCTTGAAAATTGCTCTATAGCCTTGAAAAACCAAAACAAAGGGAAGAGATACTTAAGTAAAAGAGGTGAATAGACGATTACAAAGGGAAGCTCAAGAAGATAAACTATTATCATGGAATATACAGAGACCTAGAATTGGAAAATAAAAAGGGGAGGAACTCGCTCAGCATTCTCAAGCTGAAAGAACTGGGGGGGGGGGGGGGGGGGGGGCGGCTAAAATTCAAGCCTTAACTTGCAATAGTTAGAGCTAGAGCTACTATGGGCAATTTTTAAAAAAATACTAGTTTATTTACAAAATTCTAATACATTGTTTTTCACACCAGATCCTTCCCATTTCCCTCACCCATCAAATTGTGCAACCCTATGATTAATCCCTCTCTTCACACATCCTCATCCCTCTGCTTCCACCTTCCCCCCTTGGCTCCCCATACTCATTCTACAATAATGGTTTTATACAGCATTTGTCCTTATGGACTGAGTTAGTTCACTCAGCATAATGCTCTCCAGTCCCTCCCAAGGTAGGGGATAATTTACAAATTATTGCTCCTGTGTACTGCATTCCATCTGTGTATAGTATTCCATTGTGTGGATGTACCATAATTTCTCAATCTTTTCCATTGTAGTTGGACTGTTTCCATGTTCTTGTGGCAGTAGATAACACTGCTATGAGCATTGGTGTACACGTCTCCTTTTGTGCCTAAGTTCTCATTTTCTCAGGGTATATTTCAAACAGTGGAATAGCTGGGTCATATGGAATTTCTCTTCAGCTTTTTGAGGAACATCAAACTGTTTTCCAAAGTGGTTGTACCATTGCACAATTATGGGCAAAATCTTGAATGACCCAGAAAGTACCAAAAGAGGACAGCTACAATACAGAGTCACTGTACTAAAAAGAATTAGCCAACACTGAAATATTTCAGGAAGTACCATATGACCAAGAGCCAATGATAATGAAGGAAGAAGTTCAAGCTGCACTGAAGACATTGACAAAAAATAAGGCTTAGGAATTGATGGGATACCAATTGACATGTTTCAAATAACAGACACAAACTTGGATGTGTTCAGCAGTCTGTCCCAGGAAATTTGGAGGACAGCTACCTGGCCAACCGAGTTGAAGAGATCCATATTTATTTATTCCCATTCCCAAGAAAAGTGATCCAACAGAATGTAGAAATTATCAAACAATTGTTAAACTGTAAAAATAATGAGTATCACATGCAAGCAAAATATTGCTGAAGACCACTCAAAAAAGGCAAGAACAGTATAAATGGAAAACTACCAGATGTTCAAGTAGGATTTAGAAGAAGCCTTGGGACCAGGGATGTCAATGTGGATGTAAGATATATCCTGGCTGAAAGCAAAGAATAACAGAAGAATGTCCTATTTGTACTTTATTGACTATATAAAAGGCATTTGACTGTATGGATCATAACAAATTATGCCTAACACTGAGAGGAATGGGAATTTCAGAATACTTGTACCCATGTGAAACCTAGACCTAGACCAACAAGCTGTTGTTGACATTGTTCTTCTTGTTATGTGACCCTATGTAAAAAAGCCCTAAACCCTGCTCTGTCCTGTGCCAGTCTCAATGTCTCCGAAACACCCACCTCCACTACTCCAGTCACTAAATCAATCCACCTCATAGAGGGTCTTCCGCTCCTGTGCCGTCCCTCCAGCCTCTCAAGCATGATGTCCCTCTCCAAGGACTCCTTACAACATGTCCAAAGTGTGTCAGACGAAGATTCAGAATCCTTGACTCCAAGGAACAGCCTGGCTTAAACCTCTTGAGGATGAACCTATTCATTTTCTTAGCAGTCCATGGTATATTCAATACTGTAGCACCACAGCTCAAAGGCATCAATTTTCCTTCTATCCTTCCTAGTCACTGTCCATCTCTCTGATGCACAGCAAGTAACTGCAAAGACCATGGCCTGTATCAAGCACACCGTAGTCTTCAGAGTGACACCATTATTCCCTAACAGCAGACTTTCCCATTGCAATACGTCTTTTCATTTCCTGACTGCTGGTGCCAAGAGTGTTGACTGTGGAGTCAGTCAAACTAAAGTTGTTAACAATCTCAATCTCTTCACCATCCAACCTGATGCTGCCAATTGGCCCAGTGGCAATATCTTCTGGATACTGAGTCTCAATCCATTTTGAAGGCTGCAGTCCTTCATCTTCTGCAGCAGGTGCTCCACGTCCTCTTCCGTTTCAGCAGGCAGGGTTATGTCATCTGCATAACACAGATCGTTGATGAATCTTCCACCAATCCTGATGCCATACTTCTCCTCATAGAGCCCAGCCTCCCAGATAATCTGTTCTGCATATAGGTTGAAAAAGGTATGGAGACAGGACACATCCCTGGTGTACACCCTTCCCAATTTTGAACCATACAGTGTTTCCTTGCTCTGTTCTGACAATTGCCTCCTGGTCCAATTATAGGTTTCGCATTAGCATGATCAAGTGTTCTGGGATTCATTAGGGATTTTTTTTTTTGCATCTAATTCACTACAATTGTTACTACATTCCTGTTACCATTCTTGTTGACTTTAAATTTCAAGTTGATGTCGGTTTACACTAGGCATCTCAATTTCCTGACACATTTCCTTACTTCCCATAGTCATATTCTGGTCTTCATTGTTATTCAGAAACTATACAATTGTGCAAGTCTTAACACTAGTCATTTCCTCTCTGATTATCGCTTTCTGTCCTCCAGCCCATTTACTCCACTCCAAACCAAACCTACTGTCCTTGAGTCAATTATGACTCACGGTGACCTTATGTTATTATTGTCATTCATCCCCATCATCCTTGACACATTTGAGTCCATTGCCATAGACAATGTATCGCTCCATCACATTAAGAGTCTTTCTCTCTGACACCCAAGCAGACATATGCACACCTGTGTTTATCGCGGCTTTGCTCACAAAACCAAGGAGTTGGAAACAACCTACAAACGAAAGGATAGAGAAGCTGTGGTTTATTCACACAATGGAATACTACACTGCATTGAAAAACAAGGAACTCACGCAATATTATTCAAAATGGGTGACCCTGGAAGACATTATGCTGAGTGAAGTATCTCAGTCACAAAAGGACAAATACTGCATGGTGCCACTGTTATAAAACAGGACTGACCTCGGGGTTGGGGGAAGACTGAGAAAGATAGGTTTAATAATGTATAGTGCATTGAAACAGATGGGGGAGAAAATTATTTAAAAGGGATATGTGATTAGGCATTATTATGACAGGAGTTCAGAGCAAAGGCTGCATAGTGGAGTGGACCTGGGGAGAGGGATTGTAAAACAATGAAAGAATTTTTCTTTTACTCTTACAAGAGGACAGTGTACTGAGGGAGAGGGTTAGGAGGGGAGAAAAGTGCAGCAATGAATGAATGGAAATCCAAAATCTCTGTACATTTTCATTGAAATTAATAATAAATTAAAAAATATTATGCAGCAAACAATAAAAAATTTAAAATATAAAAAAAGTCTTTCTCTCCTTTGCTGACCCTCAAAGAAATGTCCCAAATAGTTTCCAGAAGCAGACTACAACATATTTCTCCCATGGAGCAGCCAGTAGACTCAGATTCCCAATTTTTTGGTTAGAAGCTATGACAACAATTTTTTAATCTCTGTTCTACTGACTATACACTATTTTTCATAATCATGATTCTTCAGGTCTTTGCTTTATTCTTTATGTAGTTTGTAGGGGGGCTTCAGGCCTTTTATTCATAGGGTCGCCGTGAGTCGTGCTTGACTTGAAGGCAATCAACAACAACAATCTACTATTACAATCATGATTAGGAAGGTGGAGGGGAGGTGAAAGAGAGGAAGACTCTCAAACAAGATGAGTTGGCACGGTGACTTAGGGATGGGCTTGAGTGTTTTGGATGTGAGTGTGAGGATGGCATGGGGTAAGACAGTGTTCATATCGAATGCACATAGGGTTGTTGAGTCATACTCAACTTGACAGCAACTAACAACAACAGTAATAAGCATTCTTGCATAGTCTCAAGTTGCTTGGTCCTTAATCTTTCTGTTCTGTCTGTAATCTTTCTACCGGTAGAATTATAACCCTGCCTACAAGGTATCTGCATATAAACAAGTAAATATGGTTAGAATAAAAGAAACTATAGTGCTCAATTTTTTCACTCTAAATTTATTATTCACTATTAATGTCAGTATTTTCTTTCACAGTGTAAATATCAATTATTAACAAGGAACTCATGAGGAGTTGATTTACACAGGAATAAAATGTACTGTATATGAAGAAAACTACAATGAAGAAGCTCAAGATTATCAGTCAAAGCAAAGCCGGGGCTGATGATGGAACTACAATTCTCATATGCAAGTGTAAGTTAAAGTTAATGCTTTAAAAAAAAAAAAGTAATCTGAGAGTGCAAAAGTATGCCCCTGAATATAACTTACCAAAGTTTAGAAACCATATCAAGAATAGCTTTGGTACACTGAGCACTAAGGATCAAAGACCAGAAGGGGTGGTCTCAAGGACATCACACATAAAGAAAAGCACAAGGTCATTTAAAAGACTAGAAAGAAAGAAAAGACCAAAATGGATGTGAGCAGAGCTTCTGAAAACTGATCTTAAGCACAGAGCAGGTAAACTGAACAGAGAAAATGATTAACTCTAAAAGAGGTGAACAGAAGATTTCAAAGGGGACCTCCAGAAGACAAAATTTATTACAGGGAAATGTCCAAGGGCTTAGAGTTGGAAAACCAAGAGGGAAGACCAGGAATATTAACTGAAGATAAAATTCAAGCCTTGAGTTGTAATTATGAAGCATTTTCTAGGGGGGGGGAGGAGGAAAATGCAATAATGGATGAATGAATGGAAATCCAAAGTCTCTGTAAATTTTCACTGAAATTAATAACAAAAAATTTTTTTAAAAATTTCTGTAGCCAAAAGCAGTTCATGATGAAGGAAGCATCAAAAGAATACAGAAGAAATGCTTCGTCAGTATATCAAAAAGAATTGGTTGATGTTCAACCATTTCAAGAAGCCACACATGCTCAACAACTGTTAGTACTTAAGGAGGAAGCACAAGTTGTGAAGACGTTAACAAAAAGCAAGGCTCTAAGAAGTGATGAAATACTGATTAAGATTCTTCAACAGACAGATATAGTGCTGGAAATGCTTACTCATCTATGTCAATACATTTGAAAAACAGTTACCCAGTCCAAATGGCTAGATGAGAAGCATACTTGTGGCCATTTCAAAGAAAGGCAACCAAACAAGAAGTGGAAATTATCTAACAACATCATTAATATCACATTAGCAAAAATTTAGCTGATGATCATTAAAAATACCTGGAATCATACAATGACAGGAATTACTAGAGACTCAGGCTGTATTCAGATGAGGATGTGGAAGGAGGGATATAATTACTGACATCAGATGGGTCTTGGCTGAAAGTATACCATAAATATGTTTATCTCTGTTTCACTGATTATGCCAAGACATTTCACTATGTGGTTCATAACAAATTATCAGTAACACTGAAGGGTAAGAATTTCAGAACACTTAATTGTACTCATGTGTAACATGTACATAGATCAAGAGCCTAAAAAGAACAAGAGTATGATTTAAAATTGCAAAAGATGTGTTGTAATAGTGTATTCTTTCACTTACTTATTCAAACTATACACTGAATAAATAATCCAAGAAATTGGCCTCTATGATGAAGAATGTGGCTTCAGGACTGGAGGAAGAATCATTAACAACTGTACATGCAGACAATACGACTTTGCTTGCCCAAACTGGAAAAGAGTGGAAGTATTTACTGATGTAAAGAAAAGAATACAGCCTTCTCTATGGACCAAGCCATCTTAATCAGGCATATAAAAAACAAATAAGAGAATAATATTGAATATCCCATGGATTACCAAAAAAGCAGATACATCATGCAGAAGTACAGCCAGATGACAAAGCTCTGTCATCTTTGCCTCCAAGACATCATGCTGGGAAGGTGAAGGGTTGGGGGGAAAAAAAGACTCTCAACAAGATGGCCTGTGCCTATATCAGAAATCTGGGAATAGTGCAGAAGAGGGCAAAATTCAGATCTGTTGTTCACAGGGTCGCTAGGAGATGCAGATGACTCAATGGCACCTACAAACAACATTGTTAGCGGCAATGAGTAAGTGACTTAGTACACATGCCTTAGGCATTAGTCCATTAAAGCCCAAATGTTGTCGTTGGGTACTGTCCAGTCACAACTGACCCTCCAGGGGTTTTTCAGAGGCAGTTAATTGCAAGGGAGGAGAATGCTCATCTTTTTCCCACAAACCAGCTGGTGGGTTTTAATACCACACCTTTTGAGTTGGCTGCTCAATTCCCTACCACTAAGTCACCAGAGCTCCCTAGGCAGTTGGAGAACTCAAAAAGATCAAGCTTTATGTTTTTTAAGATGAGAGTTGAGAAGGTAAAGGCGATCCTCTTACATGAGATCTACCTTGGATATTTCAGGTACTTATTTGGATAGAGGAAATTTGGGAGACATTCATAAATACAGCTTACTAAAATTCTCGGAAAGTGTAAACATGGGCTAGAGGGTCACCGGTGTATATTATATGTGCATGTACATATATTTACATACGCACACCTATAAATATGTTCTATATGTGTATTTTTATGTGTATATATGTACTTATCTTGGAAACTGGAGTGGCATCCACTTCCGAAATGGCTTGCCTTCCGAAACTCTATGAACAGTGCTCAGGTCTTTTCGTTCATAGGGTCGCTATGAGTCGTCTACGACTCGACGGCACCTAACAACTTAAGTACTTCTATATATGTGTTTGCTTGGGTTTTGCAAAGTGTCAGTTAACAGAATACCCTTGCAAGAAGTGCATCAGATGAGTGTTGAGGACCAAAGAGAAGCTAAAGTAGATCCGCAAAATTTCCATTCTTTGACAGACCCAACTCTGAAACACCTGGAGCCTGTCTCGTGGCTGAGCCAATGTGTAATGTCAAGAACACTCGTACTCTTCAGCTACGCAGCGTAGAGATCTCTGCTCACGTTCTAAATCCTGAACCAGCACAGGGAATAGAAAGCCAACAACCGAAAGATCCGAGTCCTTCACCCAGTTAGAAGGGAAGTTGGCGGCAAACGGGACCAAAATATGTGGTCTGTCCTACACATGAAATCCAGGCATCTTTCCGCCCAGCCCCTAATAAGGTCAATCCCACTCACTTCTCGAAGGGTCCGGCCCAGCATGATCTTCGCGCTCAGCCTGCCACCACAAGGGCCAGGTGACAAGGAGGAAAAAGAGAGGTCACTGGCCACTGCCGCTATTACATGGGCGCAGCCATGTTGGCTCGTCATTCAACTTCTTAGCACCAAGTACTTGGATTGGTCGAACTGCAGCTCGACCAAATGATCCTTACACACGATTGGTTGGCTCTACAAAGCCGCCCCAGCGGGGGAAGAGCACCGGCAGGCGAGGAGACGCCAAGCTTAAGTTGCTGCGGGAACGCGGTACTACCAGAGACTTTGCAACGGGATCGCGAGCTGTTTGCTTCAACTTGAGGTTCTGCAGGAGAGGACGGAATTCTTGGAGGACTGTACTTCCCCCTTCTCCAAAGTAACAGTTCGACCAGGGTGTGAGAGGAGAGGAAAATAGAATACGAATTGGAACAGTAAATCGAGCATTTCCCATGCAAACAGCCAGATAATTCCATTTGTCTTATTGAATCTCTCCTCTTTTTGAATATTCAATTTAAATGTGACTAATATTTTTTGACGGTATTAAAGAGTGAAAGTTTAATCCAATATAAGTGCATTTAGGTGGAACACTAAATTCCATAAGCAGTATTCCAAACACTGCTTATGATGGAATTTCTGAATAACTCTATACTTAGAAGAAGAACTACATGCATTGCGATGCATTTATGGAGAAGCAAAATGATACAAAAGGCTTCAGTAGTTAGAAAGATTAGTACTACTTCTCCAAAGTTAACTGTTATGCCTGCTTGGGTGATAGATAAATATGGGAAGAATGACGTGCTTCGATTCACTCAGAACATGATGATACCTGTCATAACCTATCCGAATGAAGTCATTATCAAAGTCCACGCTGCAAGTGTAAATCCTATAGATGTTAATATGAGAAGTAAGTTTTCAAAAGACGTTCTTTGTTACTTTATTATTATTGGTTCTTCAGAGATCATAAGGGATACAATTGTACTATATTTTGAAACTTTAGAGTTTTGACAGTACCTCAGAAAAGGTGTTTTTTTTTTAAAACTGTAAGATGCCAGTCTATAGTATAGCTTAGAAGGACCTTTGATAGCATAGTAGATGAGGATTTGTGCTGCCATTCCATAGTTGGAAGTTCAAACCCACTAGCTCTTGTTCTGGAGAAAGATGGGCAGCTTCCTCCTTTAAAGATTTTACAAACGTGGAAGCCCAAGAGAGTTGCTGTGAATTAGCAATGGGTTTTGGTTATTGAGGTTTATCTTTTTTTAAAAAAAAAAAAAAAGTATGATCTTTCCAAAACTGAAGTTTGAATTGTTCCCATTTTTTTTTTCTTTTTAAAAGGATCATTATTGGTGTAATGGGTGAATTGTTATTTGCTAACCAAGACATTATTAAATCCATCCAGTCAGTCATTCCTTGGGAGAAACTCAGTTTCTGTAAAGATTATGTCCTTGGGAACCCCATCCAGCAGTTAGTTCTACTCTATCTTGTAGGGTTGTTTTGAGTCTGAATTCAGTAACAGTTGAGTTTCCTTTTAAAGTGTAGATTGAAACTTAAGAGTTGAGTCTACAGTTAACTTTCTGGCATGCTTTCCTGAAAACTTTATGAAATCCTGAGGTTGTTAAAGGTCATGGAGGTAGGCTTATGTTTTTACATCAGCTCAGAATTTGTACTTTTTGGTAATAATTTCCTTGTCATCCTTGCTTATATTTGCTATTGTTGATCTATGGATAAAGCAACAGAAAAGAACAGACAACCAGATGTTTTCTTCATATTTGTAGTAGTTTCTGCCTACAGTTACTTTCTACTCTGGTGTATGATAAAAGGGAATAATCATCTTCATTTCTGTTGTGGGATGTTGACCAAACAGAGAGAGTATTTTAAAGTATTTAATTATATTTTTAAAGTAACAAAGTGATTATTTGTGAATTGTTTAATTTTGAAAAATAATCACAAAATATTGCTGGTTTTACTATGGGAACCTAGCTATGGCTACTGAAGAAATTTAAAAACAACAACAACATCTCACCTTTTTTTGAGAGTTAACTAGTCTGTTAACATCAGATGTTTTAATTGAGCTGCTGTATGCAATCTAATTTAATCAGTATGTGTCTTGAAGGATTCACATGTTAGACCTGAAGTCTCATCAAAAGTGGTAATTCTGATATATTCAGGATGAAGGAAGTTTCATTTTCAGGTACATTTCCAATTACAAAATTAAAATTAGTAATAGAATGTACTACTGTGTAACATTTATAAAGAATTTGGGGAAAGTTGAGATTTTATGTGTCATTCCTTTAAATTTCAGGAGTGTTGTGGTAGCTTAAGTAGCAATTATCAAACTTTTTAAATCTCTTTACTTCCTTAAAAATTAGTGTGCTTTCAGAAAAAAATTATTGTGCTTTTGTTTATTTGTGTTACAGCTATTACTATTTACTTTGTTAGAAATTAAGGCAAATTGTAATTTTTATTCTTTAAAGACACAGTAAATGCTAACATTATAACATCAAGGCAGGGAAAAAAAGATGAAATCATGTAAAAATAGCCTGAAAAAAATTACATATATGACACACTGAAACATAGTAAGAGTTGAGCATGAAATTTACCTTTTAAAAGCTTATATTGGAAAATAACTATATTCCCAAATAAAAGAATAGTGTGCCATCCACTTCCTAAACAACATGCCTCTGGAAACTCTATGAACTTTGAGAAATGAATGTAGTTATAGAAAGGTCTTTTGTTCATAGGGTTGCTATAAGTTGTGCTCAAGGTCTTTTGTTCATAGGGTCGCTATAAGTTGTGCTCAACTCGACTGCAATCAACAACAACATTGGAAAATAACTATTTTCCAAAATAAAGGAATAGAGGGAGAAGTATCATTGTTTTAACTTTTGCAAGTTTCTTTACTTTCTAAAAGTTTCTTTCTTTTGCAAGTTTCTCACTGTGCAGCTGTATTTTCTTTTCCACTTCTGCATTCAATCTGCTTCCATGTGTTATCTGAAGTATTGTGTTTGCAGAGAAGCTGGTCACACACAGTTAGGTAATTGGAAGAGAAAGATTCTCTTGAAATCCATGAAAATCTCTCAGGGATTTACTGGATTTAGAGAACTGCCAGATTAGGTAAATAGAGTTCCATTTCATGCTGGATAGATCTTTTGATGACTATAATTTTGATTACAGTTATTGTTAATTTAGTTGATTTATCTAAACCAGTCCTGTCCAGTGTCATAACCAACAGCTCATGTGACTGTTAAACAGTTGAAATGTGGCAAGTATGAATACACATATTCAGCCAGTATAAAGTGCACACTGACAGATTACTGGGATCTTAAGGAGGCATGTATGTGTGTGTGCGTGTGTGTCTCTATATTAGGGAGCTCTGGTGGCCTAGTGGCAGGAAGCTGTGCTGCAATCTCAAAGGCATGCAGTTTGAGGTCACCAGCCGCTTCATGGGAGAAAGATGTGCAGGCTCCTCTTGTGCGGTTAACTTCCTCTGAAAACCCACTGGAGAGTCAGCTATGAGTTGGTTCTGACTTGACAGTACACAATAACAATTTTATATGTCTGTGTGTGTGTGTGTGTGTGTGTGTGTGTGTGTGTATTCACTATGAATTGCCTGCGACTCAACAGCACTTAACAACAATAACATCAACATAGAGAGAGATCAGTTGGCCCAGTGGACAGAAAGTGATGCTACCAAGCGAAAGGTGGGTAACTTTTAATCTGCAGCCCTCAGTCCTGTCTCATTGTTATTATTCAAACATTCCTCTACGTCATATAACCTTGGTCTGTCCACTTGCTGAACAGTGGTAATTTGTGGTTGCTGTGAGGCTGAACACTGTGACACTGATGTGTCAAATGTGTTAATGGTTGGTTACCCAATGCAGACAGTGTGGGGTGGAGCTCCCCAATTAAAACAAGCTTGGAAGCAGGAGTGGCATCCACTTCCATAATAGCTTGCCTCCGGAAACCCTATGAACCTGGAGAGAGGATGAAAGACACACTAACATATATATATATATTAATGATATTGTTTGATAATTTGTGCACTCTGTCAGGTCACCTCTTTTGGATATGGGAATAAATAAGGATCTCCTCTCGTCAGTTGGCCAGGTGATTGTCTTCTAGATTTCTTGAAACAGCTTGGTGAGTGTGTCCAGCTCAGCGCCTCTTTGTTGTAATATGTCAATTAGTATGCCATCAATTTCTGGGGCCTTGTTTTTTTCCAGTTTCTTCAGAGCTGCTTAAACTTCCTCTTTCATCACCACAGGCTCTTGATCATACATTGTTTCATGAAATTTTTGTTCATGACTGGAACAGCACACATCAACAGAGAACTGCCAGGTGTGCAGCCTGGGTTTTAAAAGAGGCTGTGGCACTAGAGATATTATAGCCAATGCCAGGTGGAACTTAGCTGAAAGCAGAGAGTACCAGAGGAATGTATGTGTTTCCCTAATTATGCAAAGGCATTTGACTGTGTGGATCACAATAAATTGTGGCTTACTCTGAGAAGAATGGGAATCCCAGAACACTTGATTGTGCTTATGAGAAACCTATACTTGGACAAGGAGGCAGCTGTCAGAACAGAGAAAGTAAATACTGCATGGCTCAAAATCAGGAAAGGTGTACACCAGGGATGTATCCTATCTCTATACCTTTTCAATCTATATGGAAAACAGATCATCCAGAAGGCTGGACTCTGTGAGGAGGAATATGACATCAAGATTAGAGGAAAATTCATCAACAACCTGCATTATGCAGATGACACACCTTGCTTGCCAAAACTTAGGAGGACCTGAGGCATTTGCTGCAGAAGGGCATCAATATAGATTGAAGCTCAACAACAAAAAAACAAAGATGATTCATGTTTATTGCTGCGTTATTCACAAGAACAAAGAGATTGAAACAACCTAAGTGCCTATCAACAAATGAATGGATAGAGAAAATCAAAAGAGCCAAACTCGCTCAGCATTTCTTAAGTTGAAGGAACTGAAGAACAAAATCAAAGCTTGAGTTGCAGTATTAAGGATGCTTTGGGCAGAATAGTAAATGATCCAGGGAGCGTTAAAAGAATATGGAAAGAGTATACAGAGTCATTGTACCAAAAGGAATTGGTGGACACAGAAGAATTTCATGAAATGATGTATAAGCAAGAGCCTGTGGTGATGAAGGAAGTTCAAGCTGTTCTGAAAGAATTGGCAAAAAACAAGGCCCCAAGAATTGATGGCATACCGATTGACATATTTCAACAAACAGATGCTTCCCAAGTTGTGCCAAGAAATCTGGAGGAAAACAACCTGGCCAACAGACTGGAGGAGATCAATATTTGTTTCCATTCCAAAGAAAGGTGATTCAACAGAGTGCAGAAATTATCGGGCAGTATTATTGATATCACCTGCAAGCAAGATTCTGCTGAAGATTATCCAAAAACAACTGGAAGAGCCATCAACAGAGAACTGCTTGAAGTGCAGGCAGGGTTTACAAGAGGCTGTATTACCAGGGTTATTATAGCCAATGTCAGGTGGATCTTGGCTGAAAGCAGAGAGTACCAGAGCAGTATCTATCTGTGTTTCATTGACTATGCAAAAGCATTTTACTGTGTAGATCACAACAAACTGTGGCTAACTCTGAGCATAATGGGAATCCCAGAACACTTGATTGTGCTTGTGTGAAACCTATACTTGGACCAGCAAGCAGTTGTCAGAACAGAGCAAGGAAATAATGCATGGTTCAAAACTGTGAAGGGTGTGTGCCAAGGATGTGTCTTATCTCCATACCTTTTCAATCTCTATGCAGAACAGATTATCTGGGAAGCTGGGCTCTTTGAGGAGAAACGTGGCACCAGGATTGGAGGTAGACTCATCAACAATCTGCGTTATGCAGATGACACTACTTGGCTTGCTGAAACTGAGG